CCATTAAAATTCCTTAAGAATCCCGGTAAAATTCTGCTAAAATTCCATTTAAAATTCCATAAAAATCCCATTCTAATTCCATTAAAATCCCATTGAAATCCCATCCTAATTCCATTAAAATCCCATTAAAATCCCATTAAAATCCCGTTAAAATTCCATAAAAATCCTGTTAAAATCCCATTAAAATTCCATAAGAATCCCGGTAAAATTCTGCTAAAATTCCATTTAAAATTCCATTGAAATCCCATTAAAATCCCGTTAAAATTCCATTTAAAATTCCATTAAAATCCCATTTTCATCCCATAAAAAAATCCCATTAAAATCCTGTAAAAATTCCATAAAAAACCGGGAATAAAAACCCAGGAATAAAAAATAGGGAATAAAAAAAACCCAGGGAATAAAAAAAATCAGGGAATAAAACCCGGGAATAAAATCCGCTTTTCCCGGGCTATTCCCAAGGATTTGGGGCGGGAATTCCGCTGGAATTCCCGGTTTTTCCATGGGAAAAATTTCCATTCCCGCCTCGGGCAATAAGGGGTTAAAGGAGGGATTTTTTTAAAAAAAAGTCGGGATAATTCCCAGGATTCCAAAGGGTTTTCCCAGAATCCCGCGGGAATTCCCGGGAAAAACGAGGGGAAATGGGGGAAAAAAATGGGGAAAAAATGGGGAAAAATGGGAAAAAATGGGATAAAAATGGGGGAAAATGGGGAAAAAATGGGGAAAAATGGGGAAAAATGGGAAAAAATGGGGAAAAATGGGGAAAAAATGGGGAAAAATGGGGAAAAATGGGATAAAAATGGGGAAAAATGGGGAAAAAATGGGGAAAAATGGGATAAAAATGGGGAAAAATGGGAAAAAATGGGGAAAAAATGGGGAAAAATGGGGAAAAATGGGGGGAAAATGGGAAAAAAATGGGGAAAAATGGGGAAAAATGGGAAAAAATGGGGAAAAATGGGGAAAAAATGGGGAAAAATGGGGAAAAATGGGGAAAAAATGGGGAAAAATGGGGAAAAATGGGAAAAAATGGGGGAAAATGGGGAAAACCGGGATAAAAATGGGGAAAAATGGGGGAAAATCTGGGAAAAAACGGGAAAAAATGGGAAAAAAGAGGGAAAATCGGGACAAAAAAACCGGGGAAAAAACAGGGAAAAACTGGGATAAAAACGAAGGAAAATGGGGAAAAATGGGGGGAAATGGGGAAAAATGGGGAAAAAAATCTGGGAAAACCGGGAAAAAAGCTGGGATAAAAACGAGGGGAAATGGGAAAAAATGGGGAAAATTGGGAAAAAAATCTGTGAAAAATGGGAAAAAAGGGGGAAAAAAGAGGGAAAATCGGGAAAAAAAAAACCGGGGAAAAAACAGGGAAAAAACTGGGAAAATCTGGGATAAAAATGAAGGAAAATGGGAAAAATGGGGGAAAACGGGGAAAATCGGAAAAAAATCTGGGAAAACCGGGAAAAAAGTGGGAAAAAATTGGGATAAACAGGGAAAAAACAGGGAAAAAAGAGGAAAGAATCAGGGAAAATTGGAAAAAAAAAAAAGGGGGGAAAACTGGGGTAAAAACGAGAGGAAATGGGAAAAAATGGGGAAAACCGGGATAAAAATGGGGAAAAATGGGGAAAATTGGGAAAAAATCTGGGAAAAAACAGGGAAAAAAGAGGGAAAAAAGAGGGAAAACTGGAAAAAAAAGGGGGGGGAAAAAACAGGGAAAGAACTGGGAAAAACTGGGATAAAAACGAAGAAAAATGGGAAAAATGGGGAAAAATGGGAAAAACAGAGAAAATTTGGAATAAAGTCTGGGAAAACCGGGAAAAAAACAGGGAAAAATGGGAAAAACAGGGAAAAAAACTGGGAAAAACTGGGATAAAAACAGGGAAAATGGGAAAAAATGGGGAAAAAAGGGGAAAATTGGGAAAAAATCTGGGAAAACTGGGATAAAAATGAAGGAAAATGGGGAAAAATGGGGAAAATCAGAAAAAATTCTGCGAAAAACAGGGAAAAAACGGGGGAAAATGGGAAAAACAGGGAAAAACCTGGGGAAAAAAGAGGGAAAATTGGGAAAAAAACTGAGGAAAACCGGTAAAAAACTGGGATAAAAACGAGGGGAAATGGGAAAAAATGGGGGAAACTGGGATAAAAATGGGGAAAACCAGAGAAAATCGGGAAAAAAACCTGGAAAAACCTGGAAAATCTGGGACAAAATGGCAAAAAAATGGGAAAAACCAGGAAAAAATGGGAAAAACCGGGAAAAAAACAGGAAAAACTGACAAAAAAACTGGGAAAAAACCTGGAAAAACTGGTAAAAAAATGGGAAAAGCCTTGGAATTTTGGAGCGGAATTCCCACGGGGTGGATCCCAAAATTCCAGGGGAAAACCGGGATGGGTGGGATCCCTGGGATCCGGGGGTTTGGGGATGTTTTCCATGGAATTCCGGAGGGAAAAAGGGGGGATCCCGAATGCTGCGAATTCCTTGGATTTAGGGGTGAAAATTCCACGAAAATTCCACGAAAATTCCACGAAAATTCCATGAAAATTCCATGAAAATTCCATGAAAATTCCACAAAAATTCCATGAAAATTCCATGAAAATTCCATGAAAATTCCATGAAAATTCCGTGAAAATTCCACGAAAATTCCATGAAAATTCCCCCAAATGAGGGGAAATTCCCTGAAAAGAAAAAATTCGGGAAAATCCCGGGAATTCCGGGAATTCAGGAAAAGCCGGATCCGAGTCCCCCCCTCCTCAACTCCCTAAATCCATGGAAAAATCCCATTCCCAAAATCCCTCCCCCGGCTCCTCTTTCCTGGAATTCCCCAAAAATTCCCCAAAATTCCCCAAAATCCCCAAAATTCCCCCAAATTCCTCAATGTTCCCCCAAAATTCCCCAGAATTCCCTCAAAATTCCCCAAAATTCACCAAAATTCCTCAAAATTCCCTCAAAATTCCCCAAAATTCACCAAAATTCCTCAAAATTCCCCAAATTCCTCAAAATTCCCCAAAAATTCCCCAGAATTCCCTCAAAATTCCCCCAAATTCCCCCAAATTCCCCCAAATTCCCCAAAATTCCCCAAATTCCCCCCAAATTCCGGCATTTTCTCCAGGCCCAAATTCCATCAGGAAAAAAACTCACCCAGATTTTGGGAATTCAGCCCGGGATGAGCCGGGAACCGCCCCAGGATTTGGGAATTTGGGATTTGGGGATTTTGGGATTTGGGATTTGGGGTTTGGGATTTGGGATTTGGGGAATTTGGGAATTTTGGGGATTTGGAGGACGGAACTGGGGGTTGGAAAATGGGATTGGGAATATTTTGGGTTCTGGGATTGGGAATTTGGGATCTGGAATTTGGGATCAGGATTTGGGGTTTGGGATTTGGGATCTGGGACTGGGAATTTGGGATTGGGGTTTGGGATCAGGATCTGGGGTTTGGGATTTGGGATCTGGGATTTGGGATTTGGGGATTTGGGGTTTGGGGTTTGGAGTTTGGGATTTGGGATCTGAGATTTGGGATTCAGGGTTTGGGATTTGGGGATTTGGGATTCAGGAGTTGGAATTTGGGGTTTGGGATCTGGGATTGGGATGGGATTCAGGATCTGGGATCAGGGATTTGGGGTTTGGGATTCAGGATCTGGGATTCAGGATTCAGGATTTGGGGTTTGAGGTTTGGAATCTGGGATTTTGGATCCAGGATTCAGGATTTGGGATCCAGGATTCGGGATTTGGGATTCAGGATTCAGGATTCAGGATTCAGGATTTGGGATTCAGGATTCTGGATTTGGGGTTTGAGGTTTGGAATCTGGGATTTGGCATCCAGGATTCGGGATTCAGGATTTGGGATTCAGGATTCGAGATTCGGGATTTGGGGTTTGGGATTTGGGGATTTGGAATTCAGGATTCAGGATTCAGGATCTGGGATTTGGGGTTTGGGGTTTGGGATTCAGGATCTGGGATTCGGGATTGGGGATTCAGGGTTTGGGGCTCGGGGTTGGGGGTTTGGGGATTTGGGGTTTGGGATTCAGGATTCAGGATTTGGGATCCAGGATTCAGGATTTGGGATCCAGGATTCGAGATTCCGGATTTGGGGTTTGGAATCTGGGATTTGCGATTCAGGATTCAGGATATGGGATTTGGGATCGGGGATTCAGGGTTTGGGGTTCGGGGATTTGGAATTCAGGATTCAGGGTTTGGGGTTCGGGATTTGGGATTC